GTATTTATCTTAGCAACATGACTAAAGGTGTCAAAGTAATTTATTCCGTCTTCTTGATTGTATCCTTTTGCCACTAGTCTAGCTTTATATTTTTCTATTGACCCATAAGCCTTGTATTCTATCTTAAAGAGCCATTTACAACCTATGGGATGTTTACCTCACGATAATTCAGTAAGATGCCAAGTGTTGCTCTTTTTTAACGCGGATAATTTCTTGTTCATGGCTTTTTTGCCCTAAAGGATTAATAGATGCTTGTTTGTATGTTTTTTGTTCAGTTTCATTAATTATAGTAGTTTAAAGCAGGCATGATTATAAGAGAGATTGTATGTAGAAATATGAAATTTTATTTGATATAAGTGTGACATTCTACAAATGTTTGGAGATTGTTGTAGAGAGAATTGATTGGAAGGTGAATGTATCTGATGGTTATAGACCTATAGGTAAGTTGGGCTCTTTTTGGTTCTTGTTGATCTTCTGAGAGGTGAGCGTTGGGTTATATTTGGTGGATCAGTGGGTGGATTTTGTGAATACGAGGGATCAGAATTATTATGTTGTTGTGTTGGTTGAATGTGGTCAGAAGTATTGTCTTGTTGTTGTAAAGGTGGGGTTGTATGATTGGGTGAAATCAGTGGATAATGTGCAAAAGGATTGGGTTTAGGAAACATAGGTATATGAGAAGTATTATCATTTGAAATTTTGAAAGGAAAAACGGTCTAATATAATATAACCTTTCTAGAAATCAATATTTTCTTGGTATTTAAATCATAAAATTTGTAGTTTGTAGTCTTTATGACCCAATGAATATTCAAGATATATGCATTTAGATGCTCTATGTGCAAACTTATGTCTGTGTGATTTAAGAGTAGATGCATAACAAAAACACCCTATTGTTCGCACGTGGTCAATTGAAGCAAGATTGTTATAAAGAATTTCAGAGGGTGATTTTTTATTGAGAACTTGAGTAGGTATCCTATTAATGACATAAACAACATCTAGAATGCAATCCATCCAGAAATGTAATGGGAGATGTGCATGAAACAAAAAAGCTCTAGCTACTTGTAAAAGGTGTTAATGTTTTCTTTCAACCCTAGCATTTTGTTGTGGAGCTACCACACAACTTTTTTGATGTAAAATGCCTTCGTTTATTTTATTTAAATAAATCAGTTAATGGAAATTTTATACCATATTATCAGATCATAGGATCTTTATTGGTTTTTTAAATTGAGTTTGAACTAAATTATGAAAGTGTTTGATACTAGAACTGTTATCTGATTTTTGCAAAAGAGGGGACAAAGAAGGGACAAAGAATGAACCTCAAGCATCACAGTGAATTATTTCAAAGGGACTATGTGAAATGGAGTTGCTTAAATGAAAGGGTAACCTTATCTATTTGGAGAAATGAAACACATCACATGGAATTCTAAAGATTGTAAAGTTTTTACTAGGAATGTCAAGTTGCAAGAGTTTGTGAAATGGTAAATGTCCTAACCTAAAATGCCAAATATCAGGGTTAAAAGGTTATTACAAGTAGAAGATGCAGTAGTATGTGTTACAAGGTTGATGTGTGTAGGTTTTTGTAAAGCAAGAGAGAGAATAATGGAGTTTGGGTCAAAGTCGTATAAACCATCTTTGGCCTTAGCAGAACCAATCATCTTGTGGGATGTTAAGTCTTGCATGATGCAGTGTAATATGAATATCATACTAGACCATCTTTAATGGATAAAAAGATATATATCAGAAAATAAGCCTAGATATGGGCAAGAACACATGTCATAATGGTATTGGTCAAGCCTAACTTTGGCACTAAGGTACATTTTCCCTATAAAAGGCCACTAAGGTATCCATAAAACACATTCTCTATACATTCACTATTATACAATCATGCTGCACTCTTTATCTCTGGCAAGTGTTGACTTAGACATCGGAGGCTCGATGTCGGGACCCCTCCTGACGTTGAGTTCTTGTAGGTACAGAGGTCGTTCGAGTTGAAGGAGTCCGGGTGAAGTCCATTTCACCAACATTGGCGTTGTTTGTGGGAACCGTTCAAAAAGTAAAATAATCGACCATGGCAAACAGAGTTCCGATAAAAAAATGTCAATAATTTTCCAACAACCTCCTTCACTTCTATCGGCCGCCGCCGACCGTCAACCAAAGTGCTCCGATCGGAAAATTTTTTACATCACCGAGTAGATCTCATCGAGGTGATTCTCTCCTTAAAATTTCATGCAAAAATTTTACGGAGAAGGCTTTCAATTTTGCCGGTCAAACATCCAGATCAAGGTATATTCGGTGAACATTTGACCTTCAAATCTATTTTCCTGGTGATCCATGACAGCTATCAAAATTCCGAGGGCACCACCGGAATCCCCTACCGAGGCGCGCTTTCAGTAACTCATCTTCACCGGCTGCTGTCGGACAAAGGCCTCCGATCATAAATTTTTTTATATCATCGCGATGCTCTTTTCGCTCTCGTCCTTTTCCTAAAATTTCAAAAAAAATTCTATCGGGAAGGCCGTCAATTTTGCCAGTCAATATTTCTAGATCTAGGAAGTTTTGGTCAACTCTAGTCTTCTTCTTCAATTTTCCTGCGATTTCTGATGATCCACTTAAAACCGAAGATACCATCGAAAACTCCTCACCGAGGCGCACTCTCGGCCGATGACTTTCGACGGAAACAGCGAATTATTTTTTTCGACCGAATTTTCCCGGCGAGCTGCAGCTGTGCTCCCCGCCACTCATCAGGTGCTGACTCCCGCAGTCGTAGCCAACCCAATTGGCCTGGCGCGAAAAGAAGCCGAAGTCTCAGCACGAGCTCGCACTCTTCAACCAATCGAGAAGGCCCAGCACGTGGCCCAATAATGAAGCCCAACGAGGAGGCCCTTCAGCCCAGCAACCCCAGCACGCGGGTCGCGTCTCTCACAGTTTTGGCCCGCATTCTGCTAGACCTCAACCCGCGTCCAGCTCTGTATCCGGCCCGCGCGAGCCCGCGCCCCTTATCCCTTCCATCAGGCCCAAAAATGCGTCCCAGGCCCCTCGGCCCGCCTTCAGCCCATCAATGACCGGCCCAACAAGCACCAAACCGGTCCAGAGGGTCCAACAACTGCCCAAATCGGTCTAACTCGGTCCGATAACCCCATTTCAAGTCCAAGACTATTTCGGGACGATATAACATAGATGGTGAGCCCATGGCGAGTCCAGAACGATACGACGTGGACGGTGAGCTAACTTTAGGCGACGTTATCATGGTGCAGGTATGGCGTTATTTTAAATCTTGGATCGAATGATTTTAAATTGGTGAGAATTGTTAGTTGGTTTTATCTGGTGCATTGGAGGAGGCGAACTATATATTATATACATATATATATATATATATATATATATATAGAGAGAGA